CCAAGGTCCCTTCCAACTCTGCTATTGTATTGTATTGTATTGTCTTTAAACAGCATTCCTCTTCCTAGCTTTCTAGTGTTTGAGACAATTCATCTACCGTGTTTTACTGAAAATAAGACTCTCGAAATAAGCGCTCGGCCTTATTTTTAAGAAGGTCTTATTATTTTTGAGGTGCAGGAGGCAGCAAGCGTGGTCACCTCGTGGCTGCTGCTGTGTTGCAATATTTTCGAGGAGGGCTTATTTTCAGGGGAGGGCTTATTTTCAGGGAAACAGGGTAGTCACTTATAGGCTTCCTCACCCACACCGGTCAGATCACTATATTGCACTGGATACAGATAACTTCTTTGTCTTGACAAAGCAATCCAATCCATGGTCTTGTTCATTTGCTTCTTCCTTGCCAACAGGTGGTCTTTTACATATTCACGACTATGCTATGGTGAGTCCTGAGTGGCTGATATATAATATAAGTTACCTGCCTCACTGTTACGTCTCCTTCTGCAAAGAAACTGTTCGATTCAAGTTTTCAAAGCCTTCTCATCCCAAAAAATTGTATTCTTGCTCCAAGTGGATTTTGCTGGAGACCTACCGCAAGAATTTGAAGGATGTATCTGCATTTGATAAGAGGTGGGTGAAAACATTTCTGATTGGTTACAAGCATATTTACACTATTATGTTGCTTCTTCATTCCCCAAGTTGCCTCTTCCAGATGTGCTGGGACTGCAAGTCCCTGAATGTGTAGCTAGTACACATCAATTTCAGAGGTGGGTTACTCCCAGTTTGGCCCGGATTGGCCGAACCAGTAGTGGCGGTGGCGGGAGGCTCCACCCACCCACCCACCCAGACGCATGTGCAGAAGCGTTGTGTGAGCATGAGCAAACCATTAGCACCGGGATTTGCAACCCACCTCTGGTCAATTTGAAATACAACAGATTGAAGAAAGCTGGTTTGGAGCACTATCTGCATAATTTGAAAGATGGAATACTTGTTCTGCATGTTTATTCCATCAGGGCCTATTCTTTTAATCTAGAAGCCATCATAGTGCTTCAGTGGAGCAAACATTATGTTGAATTTGTTTTAACCAAAGTACTTAACTTTTGCACAATGTGTTCCCTAATTAGTCAGGGTGCCTTACCTTATCCTTACTATGACCCTACAGTATAAAAAAATGTGAAGTTGGGTTGGCTGATAAGACCATATGTTAATCATCCATTGAAACTTCTTAGTGAATTAATGAATGGAGACAGAGAATTCAACCAGCATCTCTTTGTAAATATGTATCTTGCACCTCAAGCATGTATTTTACATGCAGAAGATTACAGGTTCAGACCTTGGTATGTATCTCCAGTATACCTATCTAAAACTCTGGGTAGTCATTGCCATTCAGGATCAATATTATTGGACTAGGAGAATTACTGTTCTGATCAGTGGTGGGTTATGGATTCCATTGCAAACCAGTATGTTGCAGTGGGGCTGGGCATCCACCACGTGCACGCGCGCATGCGTACTTACCGCTCACAATGCTCAAGCTGCCTGGCAGAGCATTGCGCAGGGGCCGTACGCTACATGCATGAAAGCCCCGATCGGCTCAAATACAGGTAAGGAGAGCTGGCGGATGGGTGGGCCCTCTGGAGCACCATACCCATTGCCGGATTTTCCTATAGGCTAACTAGGCTTCAGCCTAGGGCCTCAAGATCAAGAGGTGCCTACATTCAAATTGTTAGCAA